CTCGTTAGCTTGAATTGGGTTGTGACGATAATTCCTTGCTCTGATGATGTTCATCATATGACGGACGAAAGCCTAGCACTTCTTCACCGAAATCAAAGGAGATTACCTCGGAAACAGTTTCAGCATTAATATTCCAGTAAAGCTAATATACAGCTGGTCAAGAGGAATCCGCCGTCGTCTTCTGGTGGAATCGACCTTTAAATCTCTTCAACAAACATTTTCACTCGAAATTTAAGCAAGCACAACAATTATGAAACAAGAGATTCCTCGAAATCCAACTTTTCTTCGCATATATTACATTTATTAGTCTGGAATTATTACATATGATGCTGTTTTAAATATTTATTGTTTGCACAGTTCTGAGTAATCTTAGTATAATTTTCTCTTAGACCTTTTTTCGCTTCTAACCTTCGATTGCTCTTCAGTTCTAAATAAAACTTCCTCTGCATATGTCTTGATGTTTTATGCGGGTATGCTTTACGGGTATAACATTTACATCTTATTCTCTATAATTTTATTCCACATTTTCCTGGCCGTTAGTTAATGCCTTCAGATGAACTATCAATTTCGTATTTTCCTCTGAATTCATCCACCTCCACTTGGGGCTCTTGTATGCTTACTTGTTTGTGTATGCTTCCACATCAGTGTACCTAATCCCTAATAATTGCGAACCTACAGGGTATTTGTATTACACTCGGTGCTTATTACAAATTTCCGCATTCAGGCGAGCTGACGAATTTGTTTTTATTATAATGTTACAGTTTTCTTCACTAATTATACATTATAAATGTATCTGCATACTGTATCGGACACGCATTATTTTCTAGATTACCAATGTATCTTATATAAGAGCTGGTTTAACCCTATTTCGCCTGTGGTGACGAAAGAGTGATAGTAATTACTTCATCACCTTAAACGAAAAAGGGTAAATATATCTCTTATATAGGATCTACTAGTAGTTTTGCAGTCGATTGATATAAAAAATACAACTGCTTCGTCGACAATCCCACTACAGAAATATGATATGGGAAAGGCTTAGGCCTACTTGAAATTCACTTATGCCTTGTGAACCTGGGCACTCATGGTAATGTAACGTAGGGTTAATGTTCAGAGTATATACGCCGCACTACCCATATTCGAGTCCCGTTAAGTGTGCCGATGACACCTAGACGACGTCGAAACTGCAGTCTGCCCTTGAGAAGAGTACTTTTTAGGGAGCAAGGTTTTGTGCAATTCACTGGAAACCGGAAGCCTACGGATATCATTGTGAGAAAATGCAACTCTTAGTCCTTCATCACATTAAACTAAATAGAGTGAATACATCTTTTATAAAGTAATCATTGTTAATTTCTTCTGAAATAATGCCATTTTCGTTATAGGATTGCGAAAGCCATAACCCTGTAGTCATTCTTCTTCATTGGCTTTTCGCTTGCTCAGTGCATGCCTAATTAGTTCTCATTTAGGCATTTTTTGAAATCAACAAAATCAATAGTTACTTGCTCGTCACGGATTTTTCTGCATATCTGCTTTTCTTCTTTCAATGGTACTATTATTTTCCTTTTATAGGTGCCAGGAAATTATTGGCATCTGTCCTTTTGGTTGTCGCGTCTATGTCTCTTATTAAGATCGTTAAAGTGAAATTCTGGGCAGGGAAGTAGATAAAACGAAGACTTAGAATTGTGCTTCTGCTCGAGTACTTGAGACACGTTTTGCTAACTATAGCTTTTTTCTCTGGATAGGCGGAAAAGGCATTTTGGAATGTATGTAATGTTGAGTAGTCTTCATCTAAAAACTTTATTTTTCTTTTCTCTTATCTTCCTTTGCTTATGTATGATCTTCTTCCTCTTTGGATAGAACTCAGCTAATAGTAATTCATGTATATTCGTCTCTCATTCATTTATCGGCCCTGCCCTTCTAGGTTACTTGGGTCTTAAGATGGGCTTCAGTCTATTTTTCGTTTGACGGGTTTTTAGAATGGTCTGTATATTTTTTGTTTTTGCCTTTTCTTGATCCCGTGTGTTTCGGTCTTTTACTTTCTATAGTGGCACATCCACACTTGAACACGATTGTGAGTACGTATGTGCATGCACGCTCATTAATTGACAAGCAGTAGCAGTCAAAAGTGACTCTATACATATAGATTACAACAATTCTTTCCATCGATTTGAGTTATCTTCTATTATTTCTTGGTCCATGGCCTCAAATAATCTTCTAGAAGTTGTTTTTCACCAAATGTATATATTGAGTTTCTGAATTTCTTATTTGGTCTCGATTATCACAATTGGAGTCATTGACCATGCGTAATTGAAGCATCTATCGAATATTCTCTACGGGGTCGGCGAAAGTATTTTTCGGTCATTCTAAATTGTTTTCACTTCATACAACCCTTGAGTTGATTCGTATGCTATATTTTATTAAGTACTGATTACGGAGTTAGATCTACGAATGTTCAATCTATTAAAAACCTCTCAGACGACTGATTATCTTCAACTTTGCTGACTCGCCTATTCCATTTATTATTAAGTAGACATTTGCGCCTCATATTTACGTGCTATTTCAGGTAACTAAGTGAGAGTTCATCTCGTTCTTATCCCATAGATGTGCCATTTGATTTTTAGTATAGGTAAGCTTCGGGGCCATCGGTAAGAATTTTGATACCCCATGTCGCTGAAGGTGATTTAAGGACTGATAATTGAATTTTCCCCACAATTATATGAATGAGATGATAAGATACCCTTCTTGGAGGCAAAGCTTACTGAAATGCAATGGCATCGTGAGGTCTATTCATCGCATCTTTGTAAAACTTAACTGTAGGTCTTTAAATCACCTTAAGAAACTTAGGGTGATTAAATTCTTATGTTATTTTTGGGCCTCATTCAATTTTCAGTGGCTCGACGATCCTTAGGAAACCGCCATTCAGGGTTGTTCTTAACCTTATATGATAAAAGTTGTTTTCCAAATTTGCTCAAAATAACTGGGTTTCTATCGATTTGTTTAATAGTTGACAATAGTTTCTAACCTTAGTCTCAACCGGGTTTTATAGCACTTGCTCTTGATCTTATCAAGGACACTTGATTTATGCTTATACCTCGATAAAAAGTTAAATTTAAGAATGTCTGCTAAGGTTAACATTTAAATTTTAAGCTGATTTTTAAATTTCATATATATTTGGCGGGTTTTTAGATATCCTAACCACTACCAATTATGATTAATTCGAGAAGTCTTTGCTTATCTTTCTTTGTCTTCTGAAACTTTTAGTGATAATTTCAGGTAATTTTGTTACATTCAGTCCAGTTTATCACATCAATGTATTTCTCATGATTTTGAAATCATATTCTTCATCTATGCTTAGCTCCATATTTTCATTTCTGATCCACATCACTCGAGCATCCGTTTTATATCTTTTTATCACACTCATTACTTGTTTGAGCTTTTGTTTTTTTATATTTTTATCTAAATCCTAACTTTCTAGATACGAATAGTAACTGTGTGTTGGTGAATATCCTAATAAAAACCTATTGGTGACTTTCATTTCGTATGAACGTGCATAAAGAAGAGATTATAAGGTCGATCTCACCAGAAGACGACGGCTGGTTCCCTTCTGTACTGCAGCCGTGTGGCAGTGTGAGTTCAAGCTCTGAGGATATACATCATATAATCGACGAAAGCTCAGTCCTTTTTCCCCCGAAACTAGTGAGGATGTCACGTCGACTGCGTCGTATTTAAGCCATACTGCTGCAGTACAACGGGAATCAGCCATCGTCTTCTAGTGAGCTCGACCGGATCTCTTTTTCATACACTTTCATACGAAATGAAGGTCTCCCCTATAATCTTATCTTTCACGTGTTGGTTTATCTCAGTGTGTTTATCTTTTGTTTTTATCTTAACGACTGCTTACTCTAAGAATATTGTCATTTTTTGTTCACCTTTTTCATGTAGGGTCTTGTTGATGGACTAACTGAGTCGCGTGAGGAGCTGGAGGAGATAGAACGGTGGCTCCAGGCTAATAGTGGAGGCATGGTTCGTCAAAACAACGAGGCCGGTACAAATGCGGCTAATGGCTCTAGAAATGTGGCTGCCAATTGCGTGAATGCAGAGCAGGATCAAGTAAGAAATTTGTTCTCATTAGCTTGCTTCTAGTTTAAATCTAAACATACTACATATGTCTGTAATCTATTTATTTTGGAACTTTCATCAACTATATTTATATACTAATTCAATTAAAAACAAGAATGTATATAAGTATTTATGAAAAGATATTTATTTTCAACAATTTTGTATAAAGAACTATTATGTCCCTGTGTGCTTCATGCATATCCTAGCCTCGAAATTATTTTTTTAATCAAAAGTAGTACAACCAAAATGTTTTTGTCTCGTTTCCGCAATTTGGTCTTCTTTTCGATGCGACTTCGATGATCGAAATCTGTTTAGATTTCTCGTCCATATTAACCATGCTACAGTTTAGCGTCTTACTATGAACTTGGTACATCCATAGACATTTGGCCGGCATTGCTAATGAGGTTTTTCATTCTTTGTGCTAGCATGACAATCATTTGAAGTCCATCTCTTGACAAGATTTCTTGTCTCTCTCGCTTAGCTCGGATCTAAGGATGCTAAAGCCTACCGACCATGATTCCTGCAAAATGTCTGTGAATGTATAACCTTCACAGTCCGATGATGGGAATTTGCATGACCTTTATGGAAGAAGACTACGAACAAGATGTGTTCATCGAGCTCACCTTGACGACACGAACAAGTGGGAAAAATTAGGTCGTACTTTTTCTTTCTAATTTCTAGATTGTCCGGCATAATTGACATAAGTAAATGATAGATAAAAGTGCATTTAATTTTTGGACGTGCAATTTCCTTATTTTTTGGACATTTTTATTAGTAGTCTAAGTAGTCTCTCATTCACTAATATTTGGTAACGACATTGATAAAAGAATCGGCCATATTCATTCAATAACGTCCGAGAAAATTGCATCCTGGAGGTAATAACATTCATATTTTAAAAATCTTCTCCAAGTTACAAATATCCGCAGTTAAATTTAAGACATTTGAATTATAATTCTTTTCATCTTTCTGTTGGAATGGAGGAGACATGTTCAAGGCTTTGGTTGCAGAGTGGCTTATATGCGCTTCAACAAGACATCTTTTCTTTAATCACTTTCTCAGAGCCACTCTTTTGTCAAAAATTGATTCATACGAGGCTCACGAAAGGATACTTCTAAAAAATGCCCGAAATATTTTCCTCTATAATCTTTCCAACAACCAGCTTACATCATAAATGAGGTGTATTCACCTCATTTCAGTTAAGGCTTTAAAGGACTGGTAGTTGAATTTTCCCACACTTCTATGAGTAGACCTTACATTTCCATCATATTTTACATATCCTTATTTTCCCAAAAGGTTTTCTCATCAAAGAAGGACTGCAGTTTCGATTCCCGCCTAGATCTTATCAATACCCCTAACGGGACTCAAAGCATAACGGGGCTACGCATAGTCTCGACACTTTAATCATTACATCAGATTGCCACGAATGTCCCTAGGTCACAGGGCAGATATGCATTTCAACTGTCTTGTGACCCAAGGGCACTCGTGGAAGTGTGACGTAATGATTAGCGTGTCGAGATTATACGCTGCGCTCTGAAATAAAATAATTTTTTGGGCGAGCAGGGCCATGTGAAACTGAATGGAAATGTGAGGTCTACTTATATCATTGTGGGGAAAATTTAACTATTAATCCCTTTATCGCCTTAAACGAACTAGGGTGTACAATAATTATATCGTGAGTAGATTATCACTAGTCAGCTCTACGTCTACAATTTATCAGGAATGCAAGCAAGCAAGCTTTTGGCACTTCTTCTATCTCAATCTATACATATTCTTCTTTTGTCTGCTGCTTGATTGTTATTGAGCAAGATGTCATTCTCCAATTATTTTCAACTTATCATTCTTATAGTCGTTTCTTTTTTAGACGCTCGCATAGCACTATTTATCATCTTAACTCATACATGGGATAAAAATTTATTTGTGAAAAGATATATGTTTCATTTGAATCAAGCATAAAAAATTGGTAGGATTTGAAAAGTTCTTATCAAAGTATGCGATGACGCAACCTGAAGCAAACATTTATTCTTCACTCTATATGCCTATGAACACAAGATGATCATCACCAAATTCTTGACCATTTAAATCTTATATGATATTATCAGGGTTAGTTTGTGAGCCCCCATTTAAGCT